TTGTTTCATTTCTTGACCAGGACTACCAGGTGGCTTTTTGCTATTGGGCAGAAGTGTGCCACGTAAGCAGAGGCCATGCGGAAAATACTACAAATATTTAATTCTAGCCCCCATCCTGCAACGTGTAAGACAGCAGACCATGCAAAGCCTTCGATTGCTGGTTGAACAACCGGTCCCTATACCATTAATGGGGGCCATCCTGTTTACAAAGCAATCAGAACATTGGTCCTTAAGCACAAAATCTAGATGTTTATTTGTTTACACCAAACCAAAAAAAAAAGTGTAAAAACTGAGGAACATATTTAATATACTTACAGATTTTTCAGTTTCAGTATCTATTGTCCCTTCAGGCATTTACCCAAGAAAAAAGGCAAAAAAATAAATGCCAGCTGCAGTGTGATTTTTCTTCCCCATCGAATTAGAATCTTCCACTCTTAAAAAAATAAAGGATCAAATGATCAATGATGTAGGATACTTGGCGGGCCTCAGATTATGTTACATGGCATCAGTCAGACCAAATCCTGGTCGCACATCACCAACTACTTCCAACCACTCCTTAAGGCAAGGTTAGTTATAAAAGGGAATGCTCATTTCAAGGTAAACACATTCAGGATCCTAAGAAAATCATTCTCGGCTATTAAGGACTAAGTTTTGAGCTCTCATCTCTTGCCTGGTCTGACCCCTCTTAAGCACTCATCTAACTTGACCATCCGAATTTTTACACTTGAGATAATATTTGGGGCCTCTGACGTGTACTCTTCTCTTATTTATAGATCAGACATATCAGCCTCAAGCACTAAATCACTTTATTGCCCTCGACCTCATATTTGGAAGCAACAATCAAGAATCAGTAGGAAGCTTGGGCTTAGATTTGAAATTGATTCATCTGTGTCGAAAATGAGAAGCAAGATATATATATATATATATGAATCAAAATCACACAATAAAGCCAAGCAAAGTGGACCATGACCTTATTATATTATTCATTAATACTATATTTTGGCCTCACATAAACCAAACTATACGAGGTAGGAAGAAACTATGCACCACATGAGTCTATGAATCTAAATAAATTTAACTTGGAATGAACTAATCACAAGAGCAGCGGGCACATGAGCCCTGAAATCCAGGATCCATTATTTTGGTTAATTGAGATGTGATAGAGACATGAGTCCTACCCAGTTCCCACTCTGGTTGAGGTGCGGCTAACTACCCCACCAGCCCACCAAATCCTCAGCCCAATCTGAAGCAGTCATTATTACTTAGATGAAAAGGGCAGCACATGCGGGCCAGAGAGAGAAAAAACCTTCAAAAACTTGGGAATGTCGTCATCATCATCATCATCTCTTTCTTTATTTTTGGTTGGACCACCCCAATTTGCTATTTGTTCAATTTCTCATTTCTGACCAACTTTCTTCAATCCACATGTTCAATCATCCCTTTCTTCTTTGCTGAAAACGAGGCAAAAGTGTATCTCTCTCTCTTTCCAAGGCTTGTATCACACTCAAATCTCCAAAACTTCGATCTTTAGACTTGACATTCTACTCTTTCTCCCTGCTAATACTTGAAAGTTGAAATATGAATAAAACATTACATAGAAACGATCTTCTCTCTTTTCTCTCTTTACATACATATATCTCTATCGATGCACAGTGCATTTTAAACACTTTGATTGCAATGAATCAAACCATTGGCCGGCAATCACGTCAATTTATGAAAATGATTGTGCATCAGCCAATGGGGTTTCATGGATATCACCTAATAACGTCATCCATATGTCAATTTTATATTTGCTACATCTATTCTTCGCTTCCGATTCGACCCCATTACAACATGCATCTGCTTTAAGCATGCCCTTTTTGAATTTCTTCCCATCCTCGCTCTATGTTTGTTGTTGTGCCTGTGAGAGAGACAGCAAGCAAAGACGGCTCCTTTATCTCCTTTATTTGCTTTTCTTATTTGAGGAGGAAAAGAGCACGTGTGTAGAGAGCACACAGCAACCAACCCACTTTCTCACTTTTTTCTGTGGGGCTTTGTCTTCTTCTTCTTCCGGAAATCCCAAGACCTCTGAGTACAGTGACATCTTAGCACACAATTGCATGGGTGATATTCCAGACGAGAAGCTCTTTTGGAGTTTGTGCTGGAAAGCGAAAGCCTCGACACAACCCCTCAACTCCCTTCCTAGCGCTGCTACAGAGATTTCGTAGCATTTGAACGGTGACAAACAACAAGTGGGATGCAGATAGATTTATTACAGAGAATCTATCATCAGGTCACTCGGGATTTCCTACCCGCCTTGAATTAGAGTCATACATCTCTATTATGAATTGAGAATGGATAGGAAAAGTGAATAAGAAATCTAGGCTCTCATCAAGTGGCTTTAAGACAATGAGAAAGAGACTCGGGAATTAACAAGAAATGCTAAGCGAATTAATCTATACTAATAACTCTAAATGCAGTGTTTTAGGCATCTCAGCTCAGCTCCCAGCACTCCTCAAGTGGTGGTGGGGACTGGGGACTCTCGGGAGAGTAGGGAGATAGCGCCCTTAAAATGAGAAAGAGACTTGTCCATGGCAGAGGGTCCAATTCAAAGTCCGGCGACGGCGAGACATCCATGAAAAGATCCCAGTGTGGGCCAAGAACAAAGCTATAGCTGATCACCTTCAAACAAAAGAAGGATCAAAGAAGTGATAGAACAAAAGGGGTAATGGGTAACTGCATCGAACATATGATGGTCACAACTTAATAACGAAGACAACCCAGCTATTCGCTAGACCACTAATTCACCCAAGTGTCGCATCCTGATTGACCCACCACAGTATGGGAGCTTCTGGGTCGGATTCTGACTGCTGGCTGACCAGACCTCCGCCGCCGGCACTGTTACCATCGGATTGGAGGAGGACACATGCAATTGATGGCCACGCGCCCATACCATACCTGACCATGGATGACATGAAACGTGTCCACGGCACGGCCACGACGACACCATTGAACATTTGAACCCCTGTCATGGCCTTCTTTCAATTCCCAAACCAATTAATAGCAATGTTGGGTGCATGCATACATCCCCTCTTGTGCTCAGCAGTTGCCTATCAGCTCAGCTGCCCATGAGTAATTATTATTACTCTGCGTAGGCTTTGCTTTCTCATTTGCATTGATCAGAGGAAGTTCGATTGAGATCGATACCTGGGTCAAGGTGGGTCAATTGGAATTTCAATCTTTCCTTCTTGCCCGGCCGGCGGCCGCTTGATATAAACTGGACTGAATTGACTGATGAGGTACCCATTCATTATTAATTAATTAATCTCGTTGCTTGTGACGGGGCAACTTGAGCATCTCAGCCATACCATTCAAGATTGAACTAATGAATGAAAAGAAATTGAGTGAAAGCAAACCAAGCGTGGCATTTGGCTTGTCCACTCATTCTATAACAAAATATCATATCAACTTTGTGTATTTGGTGTACAAACCATGGCCAGACCCTCTCTATCTATGCTCATGGCTTTTGACTTTTTCTAACAGATGAATTAAGCAACCATGATATAGTTAAAGAAGTAATAAATGCATTGCTCGATTCACAGGGCCAAAGCCTTTCAGATGATGATGACTTGAGCTCAACACCTTAAAATTATACAAGGTGGCTGCAACTTGGGTGGGTTTGGGTTGAGCATTTGTTGTGGTTTCGACACGGGCCTGAGCCTAAAATCTACGAGTTGGGTACATGAAATCCACCCCTGTTTGGAGTTTGGACCACCCTGTTGCTTGGGAGTGTTTACTGGATAAATAAACGTTTATCAAGTGCTTCTGAGTTAGGGGTGCAAGTCGGGTGGGTTGGGCTGGGTTTATGGTCAATCCAGGCCCATCCCTAAAATTGGGCCTAAAGCCTAAGCCCAGACCAAGCTCGAGGTCAAGTCTAATTTTTTCAACTCAAGCCCAATTTTTTTAATTGTAATTTGATGCACTCAGGTTGGGCTTGGGTTGGTCAATAAACCCATTCTAAAATTATACATATATAAATGTATTTATGCAAATATGTATACATATGTTTATGTATATATGTAAATATGTATGTAAAATATATATATATATATATATATATATATATGTGTATATAAGCAAATATGTATACAAATGTTATGTATATATATGTACATATATATGTATAAATGTATATAATTAGGCCGAGCTCGGACTAGGCCCGAACCCATGCCAAGGACCGAAAATCCAAGCCCAACCCGTATAAAATTCCAGACTGGGCCGGTTCAGGCTCGGACTGGGCTGGGGCCACCCAAGTTCCACCCCTATTACGAGTGTTTGATGAAAAAGTGTTTCTGTGGATAGTATTGGTATTTTGAAAATTACATGACGAATCAAGACGAGCCAAAAAATCAATAAACACTTACTTAAAAATAAGCTGAGTTGTTCGAAACAGTCTTATTTTCTGGAATGAGCACTTACATGGATTTATTCCAAATGCACATAAATATAAATACTTATTTGAATAAGTGCTTAAAAATATAAACACTCTTTCTTAACCAGAGGCTAAGTTAAGTTTAATTTTTATGTGATACACTCTTTAACAGCTTATCCTAGCAAACCCTTTGCCAAGCTGATTTCATTGAACATTGGGAGAGTCTGAATCCAAAAGGCGTGCATAATATGCGATGCGACAGTGATCAGATAAAAGAGACCTTCTAATTTGTCTTTGTGAAGCATTAAGTTACTCATATATGGGCTTAATGGTCCATGTTGAGGACTTCTTTGCATTATTTCTCATACATTAAAAAATGTTTATACATTAGTTATATATGGGTGGTTTCTCCTTCCAGCTCGTGCGAGTAGATTTCGCGTCTCACGTGATAGCAATCCAAACGTATGAAGCACTGTAGCTCGAATTCGAAACCCGCGTGAGAGTTCCCTTCTTTTGTTTCTTCCTGATTGACTGACACATGGCGTGCTTCTTCATTTCATGATACGATACTTGTCAAAGTATATCTATTCTATCAAACCACTTCCACGTCTCACCGTCTCTTTCTCCTTCTCTATCTTTCCCCTCCTCCCTTTCTCTTCCCACTCTCCTCCTCTCTTCTCTGCCTTTTTCTCCCGTTTCATCGTTTTCTTCGCTTTTGTCTCTCTTTCCACTCTCACTTCGTCTCTCCCCGTCGTTCTTGTGGGGTTTTTGAGGGTTGGGTGTTGCGGAATGCGGAGATAGCTTTTGCGGTTCCGTTTGCTGCTGGGGTGTTGCGCAGAGGGTTTTTGGGCTTCCGTCTGCTACCGTGGTTTTTGTTCACCGGTTGCTGGAGAAGGGGGCTCTTCATGCGTTGGCTATTGTGGTCTAGTCGAGAGAATGAAGATCTTCACGCGTTGGCTCTTCATGCGATCCTCCTTACTTTTGTCGCCCGAGGTATGGGTGGGCATGGTGGTTCTAGTGAGTGGTTCCGATCCCATGTGAATTGCTTAGTCTCCCTAGTGAACCGATGGATTTTTGTTGTTTAGTATTCAGAAGCCCTTGAAACCAACCAACTATCCCAATTTTTTGGTTTAGACGCCTTGACAAACAACCTCCAAACTGCAATCCAGCATTACTGTATAGCATGTTTTTGAATTTCACAGGACACCTTGCGATTCAAAACTTGCAAAATGGCCTATTTTTAGTTGTCCAGGATCTATATGGAATCTGCTACTTAGAAGTTTCCCTTTCTAACTTAAGACTTGAAAGCCAGGGTTTGTGTTTCTTGCAATAATAAATTCAAGTTATTGGTTTTAAGGTCAAATCTTCTGTTCCTTCTACTCTTTATTTACTACTGCAAAGAATGTGCAGCTATTTTTACTTTTATGTTGTTTCTTTTCATTTTTGCATTAATAACACACTTGGCGCTAATGGTAAAGCTTCTCTTTTACTCAGCTCATCCGAAGTCCTTGTTCTGATTTTTTGGAAAAACTACAGCGAGATATCACCCAAAGTATGCGAGGAATTTCGATTGATTAGCTTGTGGAGGTTTGTATTGTTTCTTTTAATGTATCCACATATGTTGACATAAATCCACTGTAATGTGAAAACATGAGCAAGTAAAATTCTGTTAGGCCTTGTGATCCAACATAAAATGAAATGGCAATCTTTGTTTGGGCATTCAACATTCCAATATTTTGTATCATGGAAAGGCTGCTGCAAGCCTGCAGGGCGGAAAATATTGTGCTAGAATTGCAAATTCATCATTCAATGGTTTAACTCTGGAAATATACTTCTAACTTGTAGTATTTCTTATGAACATCTGTAAAATTTAAATAAAAGTAACAAAAAGGAATTTCCTGAAGTGATTTAATTTTGGAAAAACTATTGTTCTTCTGTAGTGTTTCTAATCTGGCTATAGAAGAGTAACAAAATGCAGGGTATTGATTTTGGAAAAAAAATTCATATAATGCAATATTTTTTATAGTAAAGTAAAAAAAATCATTAAAAAGAGACGTAAAGAGTCAAATAGGTGGTCATGAGAAATCACCAAAGAAAGGGAACCAAACAACTATGGTCCCATCCTACTATTTGGCTAACCAGGCCACACGCATAAAAAACAACCCCCCCCCCCCCTCATACAAGTAAAAATTCCTTTATATACATTACAAAAAAAAAAAAAACACCCCTATAATCCTCATCCAATCAACTCTACTTCAAACAGTCTTCAAATATTGACTGTGCCTTCCTCCTCTCCCCACCTTTCTCCATTTTACCAATATCCCATCCCTTCCCAAATCTCATAGATTAAGACTATATTATTCATCTCAACACACCTTTACTCAATAGACTAAGACTATACTAAATCCAAACCTAACTCCAGACTCCTTTGGTGGGGTTTATCATGGTCTGGGCTTACCATTTAGTATAAGGAGCTTAATCTAAGTTGAGGCCCGGTCCAGCTTGCACTTCAGGTCTGAAATATTAGCTTGTGTTGGGATTGTGCTTTATGCTATATTTAATTTAATATATTATTACCTTACACAACTCTATGTTTTTATTCACTTTTCTCATCTCCTCTAAGTGCACCTCTTCCTCCTCCTCCTCCTCCTTCCCTTCTATATCTTCTACAATAACTCTGAACTCCCACCCTGTCTTTCCTTTTCATCTCTACAATTTAACTTTCCTCATGAATGCCCCTGTTCTTGGATACAAACGTTTTTTTTTTTTTTGAGAGAAGCATACCATCTTCAACCCCATCTGTTCTCCCCAACACTTCAACATATTCCCTTCTATCAATACCAAAAGACTTAAAAAGCTTGAGCAATATTTTCTACTCTTAAAACCTGAGGATCAACTTCAGATACTTATAAATTTGCAAGAATCACCGACCTTGACAATAGGGTGATGTGTTGATACCATATTGTTTTCTTGTTATTTAAGTCTTCTTGTTTTAATTAGGCATATTCTTTTGCTCCTGCCGTAATTATGTATGTTTTTGTAGATTTGTTTCAATGGGTCATTAGTCCGTTGGAATGATCAAAAAGATTTTCTTGCTATTTAATTACATGCCGTTTTATTTTGTTAATTTTGTAGTCTCTTCCCTAGAATTGCCTAGCATCTTATTTCACATGTGGTTTTTTTTTTCTGAGTTGTCCTGATTTTATTCCTCTCTTCTTCATCACCAAGATTCAGTTGGTATAATTGCATATCATCTTCATACACATTCCTCGTATATTCTGCCACTTTTTTTATTCTTTCCAGAATGTGGCCTACGATAATGGACCGGTTTTTTCTGTTCCATTGCAAGATACCATGGACAATAGCAAACTATTTGTTCCTATGATGATGGGCCAGTTTATTTCCCTACTTTGTTCCAACCAATGCTTTTGTTTATTTCCCTACTTTGTTCCTATCTCCCTTGAAGCTATTAATTTATGTTGTGTTCATAATTGATATTTTGCATTTTCTTGCAGTTAAACAATCAACCAATGTTGCATTTGGTAGCATCTCATTTTTGCTCACCTAATGGTGATTACGCGTTGGTGATTCCCTGATTTTTCCTCATTTATTAATTTATTTTGATTCCTTTGTTTATAATTCATTGTAATACTTCTTGGCTATTGTACTCATCCTTAGGTCAATTGATTGTTTTCCAGCATCTAGAACTACAAAAGTCATTAAATTAGGTTTTGATTATGAAATGTGTTTCAAAGCAAAACATGCTAAGGATCCTATATTTTTGTCATATTTGAAAATGATAGATTATCCATTCCCCAAACATGTATCGTATTTGATAATGGTAGAGAGAGAGAAGGGGGGGGGGGGAGAGAAAGAAAGTTAATTTGTTGGAGACAAGAAAAAAGATGGAATAGGAAGAAGGGGAAGTGAGAGAGAGAGAGACATATTTGAAATGCTAAAACTGTCTTTTAATCTTGAGAATGCACTCATTTTTATTACTTCTTAAACATAAGAATTGCATTTGGTATCCAACATGGACCAGCTGATGATCCTGTAGTTGCAAAATGGCCAAGATTTCAGGTTCTCCAATTTATTGATTCTAAAAAATAACTAGGTTTCTCCTATAGATTATAATGGTGGTAAATATTGTTTTGGGGGTTTGTGCTAGCCTTTCTTCCAATATAATTTGAAGTCTGATGCTGAGTAAGCTCTAGATTCGGTTTGGTGGGAGTAGTTTCACTATTTAACCTTGTCTTAGATTGCATCCTCCTTCACATAGCCCTGGCCTTGGTTGAATCTCCTGCAAACAAAACTGAAGTTGTTCTTCTGTTACCACTATCTATTATTCTCTTCAAATCTGCCCATCATCTTTAGCAAGTTTAGTGTCAGGAGTTAATATTACCCTTTCTGTTGTTGATAATAATAATAATAATAATAATAATAATAATAATAATAATAATAATAATAATAATAATAATAATAACAATAATAGTACCCTTTCTATTGGTGTCTTTAATTTGAACGTCAAGTTAGTTTGTGTTCTCACTACTAGTGTCCACTGTTGTTTTCTTGCCAATGTTTCCAAGTATAATTTTGATTGAAAGACACTTGGCCCTGAAATATTATTTGCTACTGGTTGGTTTATATACATGTGCCCAGACATGTCAACTGTACAATGCATTCGTTCATGTGTTGTGTATATTTTGTTCCAACAATGACAACAATAATAATCAACTGCCTTGTCAGGTACTTTGAGGAATGTTAAGTTGGGATACCTCAAAGAACTGATATATGAAGAAATTATTTTTCACTCTCTCATATACTAAACAGCCAGATTATAACTTCCTCAGTTTTCTATTTTCTTTTTGATACGTAACAATGAAGTTTTATTAAGTAAAGTCAAATGTGTACAAGATGTACATACACCATTACAACAGATTATGTAGCATGCAAGATATACAAAGATTGATGGGGAAAGGACAGACATTTGCTTCCTTAATGATTATAAATGGGGCCTTCTTGGTGTTTCAGATGTTGAGGAGGTGGAAGGTTTGACAAAATGACCTCAGGTTGGCAAGATGGACCAATTTCCTATAAGCAACTTGATCTTTTGAGGCCATCAGTTCAATATTATTCAGTTGTTAAAGTTAGTATTCCTGGGATTCCCCCTCCCCCCAAAAAAATGATAATAATAAAAAATAACTACATTTTAGTTGTTAGAATTGTGATTCTTCAAGTACATTTATTTCTTTCATGGTATGGAACTTAATCCCTTGCCTCCTGATTTCTGTTGATTTATTAATAGTTTGTGATGGAAATGGCTACCTTGTGATTGATTCCATAAGCATGTAGTCCCTCCCATGTTTTATTGATGAAGCCAACTCAAAATACCCTGTTTTCAAGGCAATCATCACTAGATATTTCAGACCATGCTCGGTTGTGCTGTTGGTCGTTGTGTCTGTTCTTAATTTTTAAGTGATGGTGCTTCAGTTTCACCAATGCTTCTCACCTTTGTATTATCCCAGAATGAGAAGCCCAAGTACATATTGTACAAAAAAGGTTGCAGCAAGTAGCAACAGGAAAAACTGCATAGGATGGAATTCTTGGTTCCCAACTCTTTTTCATTTATGTTGGTCTTCTCATCATTTTTTTTCATTTTCCTTTTCCCTTTTACCCTAATAGAAGTTTCAATTATCTGACCCCTTCATTTGAAATTAAAGCTTTAACCAAGAAGATGATAGAGTAAAGGAAATGTGAAGTTTGGTGTTTTCCTCTGTTGCATGCTGCTGGATCAATTTAAGTAGAGATGCATTCAGGGAATCAATGTTATCAAAATAAATTAGATATAAATTTTAATTTATTTTAAGTAACTTTTTTTCTAAGATACTTTCACTGAAAAAATAACTTCTCAACTTTTTTTTTATACAATAATTTAATTTCTACAAGCCCCTGCAACGCAGGGCCTACATGCCCATTTCACTTTCCTTCAGATTAATGCCTTTTGCCACGTGGCCAACATAGAGGCATTTATCAATGTACAACCATTGACAGTGTGGGAAGCTTGTATGGTAAATTAAGTCATGATCTTCCCTACATTCAGACTTCTATACTTGTTCGTTTCCTTGATGCCAAAATATAAATTAAAAAGGATGAACAACATAGTTTTATGATATCGGTAGCAGACAGAGAGAGAATGGCTGAGGTATTTCGGTTTTAAATTTTTGTCTTCTCTGCTGCTAATATTAATTATTATTGCGACAAGAGAAACAAACGCTCCCTTAGTAAATCAATCACATCTTTGAAAGAAAAAGAAATATTGCAAATTGATGAGTATTGTACTGAGCCGATCCATTCAGGGATCGTGATGGAATCCGGATTCAGTCCTCACAAAATTTATACTCACACCGTCCTCAATGAAAAAATATGAGCACAAAGTTATAAATGTCGTGAATACGTGTGAGGACAAATTTTGTGATGACTGAATCCGGTCTCTCGATCAAAAGAAATCAAATCAAGAGTCCGTTGTGCTCAGTTTGGAAAGAGTACAAATACAAATATATACAAAATACAAGGCTTTGTAGTCTACAAATTTATATTTGTACTCCTTCCAAACTGAGTATTAATGGTGAGGTCTTAGGGAGAAATCATGCTTGCGTTTGGATAAGCTTCAAGATTTGTGTTTTTACTTTTAAAAGCCCTAGAGCATAAAGCTCCGACTTTAGACTTTATTTGAAAGTGTTTTGAGTTTATACTTGTGTTTTTAAAAGAAACACTTGCCAAATGCTTAAAATACCTTTTTATCACTTTTTCGTTTACCACAGTCCAAAGCTCAAAAGCAGAAGTTTATCCAAACATAGCTGATAGCCTATAAATTCTTATTTGGCTATCATCTCAAGATACATGCTCCAGGCACCCAGGGTCTTGGAGGGGAAACTTATATCCACCTTGGTAGCACATTAGAAGAAACAATTTCACCTGATTTTTACGTTGAGTTTGGAAAGAGTACAACTAATATTGGATTGATCATATGTGGGCTTGCATTTTGTAACAACAGTGCCAATCTCCTTTAAGCAGACATAAATTGGGCCTACCCAAAAGTCATAAAGCCCTGCTCAAAAGTCATAAATTGGGCTTGCATTGTGTGGTGATTTATAAATACCCATCTCCTCTTTTGGAATGTTATATATTCGGGTCAGTTCCAAGTCAGGCCAAAAGTCATAAACCCTGCTCCTACCGACTAGGATTCTACAAGCCCCAGCTCCAAATCAAGTTCAGGCCTTCAGGAACCTATGCCTAGTCTTTCGGTCATTAATCCTTGATTTAGGGATGCCCTAGTTCAGACTCACTTGGATTGGACCTTTGTCCAAACACTTGATGGTCCCAACCCCCAATTTGCACCATTAAATTAAAACGCTACATGGTTCTAAGGAAAAAGGTGTTTTAAAACGAACTTTGCGCATGAAAAGGGTTATGATGTTTCCATGCTAAGCCCATTCCCGGATCACTTGCTACAAGTGCACATGGGCTGAGATGGGTTGACTAGAACCTTAGCCAGTCATCCATTTTGTGCCATTCTTGAGGTGGTCTTAACTCCGGTTCCAGAATGGGCCAAGCAGGGTGCATAACTGTTTGTGGTTCTGTCAATGATACCCGAAAACCCGAAGCCTAATTTGACATTGATCCGATTATCTTGGATTTGGATGGTCTATATATATAATCGGATCATATTCGGATTTGACTCCTTGCAATCTGATTATAATATAATTTTATTAATTTTAATATATAAATTTTATATAACTATTTTTAAAATTATAAAAATATATTCTATATAATATATTATATGTGAACTTATATATAATAAATTTAGTGTGTTATATTTATATTAATTTATTATATATAAAGGTTAAAAATAGATACTTTTTTAATTTTTTTGTATTTAAAAAAAATAGTGAAATAGGATTAAATCTGAATCTGATCCGAATTAGTTAAGATCTGGATTTGAATTCAAATCTTTGAATCCAATCGGATTCCGATGTATGCTTTCAAGAATTGGATCGGATGCGAATTTTGCTGCATCCGATCCGATTACAGCCCTGGGTCGAGAGACAGGTTTGGAATTTTGGACATAGGCTAGCTATCTGTTTGGGAAGGCTGAAGTGAAGATAAGCTTTGGTTCGGCTGCTTAGAAGTATGTTTATTAACAACTGGCTTAATTGAAGCGGATCACACTTCCACTAGCTGATTCACAGCTTGGCTCTCCGCTGTGTTTCAGGTTTTTCAGCCATCCCAAATGGAAACATGGGTCATGGGTTTGACTTTGACCCCATGTTTCCAGACTCAGATGACACAAGTGATTGAGCTGTTCATTAGTTGGAAACTCCCCCTTCATCTCTGAGAGCATTTGAAGGCACAATCTATTGACTAACTGACCTCAATATTTGTGAACCAAACGACACCCATCCGAGTCCAACCCTTTCTTTGAGCCTTGCGAGTGAGAGGGAAGTTGGTAAGTACATCTACATTTACAAATTGTAATTTTTTTAGCCTTTTAGGCACAATTTGGGAATAGTATAAATACAATTTTGTACATTACAATGTATATTGTATTTAAACTTTGTATTTGCACTGTAGATATTTGCATTTGTACTTTTTTTTCAAACTGGGCTTTGGAAGGAGTACAAATACAAATATGTAAGGTTGTGTTTGGTTGCAGTGCAATTTTATTTGCACTATTACAAATGCATAGGAGTGCAAATGAAAAAAAAATATAAATTCTCGTTTAATTTTGTTTGGGGTTTTACTTTATTCTCTTTCATGCCTTGATTTACTTCATTTGTACTGCAACCAAACAAAAAAAAAACTTAAATTTAAAACAAAAATAGTTCAGAATTTACATTCAAATCATTTGCACTGTCATAATTTTGCATCAGTGTAAATTCATTTGCATTGCAACCAAAAACAGCATAAAGTGTAAAACCATTTATTTTGTATGTATTTATATTATACATATTTGCATTTGTACTCCTTCCAAACTGAGCCGTAGGTAAAAAGACTTGTTAAGGACTATGGTGGTTTGGATATATAATAATCAAAAAGTAAACATTCATTGTTATTTCTTTTGTTTTAGAGACTATGGGTCATGGGCGTTGAGCTGCGGACTGCATATGCTTGCAACCTTGGGAATTAATAGACCCTACATTATCATTAGATTTAATCGCACTGATTTGGGCCGTGTTAGGGAATGCTTTCTGGCCCAGATGGAGGGCTTCTGATAGTCAATAGACGTATTGAGATTTTGACATAAGATCTGGGCAGACCAAAGACTGTTTGGCAGATGCGCGTCTTTCTGTGTGTCGTTTCAGGTCTTTTCGTGCGAGATTAAAACGTAAAAGATGCGAGAAACTTTATTTGGAGTTTCCCGAAATCAGCCCAAAATGGGCTTCACGCGTCTTTTCGGCACCACGTCTTTTGGCGGCTAGATCTTCCACGTGCCAAATGGGAATAGACTGATTTTCGGTCTTCCTAGCTTGTAAACAGCCGAAAGACCGTGCAAAAAGATGTGCCAAATGGTGCCGAAATTTAGGCTGCCTTTGAAAGTGGTGTAAATACCGGAATGGTGGAGTTCTAAACCAATTGGTTTAAAAAGGTGATAGGAACCAGAAATTGTCGATGTAAAGTTTTACATCGTTCTTATGAGACAAATTTCTCTCGATTTCAATTTGTGTGGAGTTTTACATCAATTTTCGATGATTATTTACACTTCATCCAAACGTTTACAAAACCAGACCAAAGCGGTCCAGTTTTACACCGTAAACAAACACAGCCTTAGTAGTTGGCTGGTCACCAGTTTTTTTCCATTCAAAATAGACACTTGTAATATACTAATATGTAAACATAAAAGGTTAAAGGTGGATTCTTTATGCATTTTAAATGGGCTTTTTTCTTGGGTATTTTTATCAGATGATTTTTTACTAGTTTTTTTTTTATTCCCTAATGGGAAAACCACAAAAATAAAATAAAATAAAACCGGAAAATCTATGATGAGAAAAAGGCATGATAGTAAAAAGCCTTTGAACAATCAAAACATGAAAACTCACATGATTGTTTGCCAAATTTATAATGCCTCTTGATTGGTAATAAGCTTTTCCAGTATCATGTCTTTTCCACCATCATACTATAACCCAAATAGAAAATAGAAATAAACAATAAACCATCGCAAAGCACTAGGATATGGTTCCAACACATAGTTGGCGCAATGGTCCAACTCTAGCACATAGGGGTGCAAGTCAGGTTGGCCCAAGTTAATAGTTTACACTGTTTTGGGATTGGGCTTTGGGTTGAGCCCATTGAAATTTTGACAAAATCCCAACCCTAACCCAAAAAAGTTGCACCCCTACTAGCAGAGGCAAGTAGAGGTGGGGTTGAGAGTTTTATTAGAAGGTAGTCATGCATAAAAATAGAAGCATTATTTCGCCAAAAGCATAAGCATATGGTACTTTTAAAAAGTATAAAAGCAAAAGCATAAAATATACAATACAAATGCTATATCGTACTTTTTGTACGTTTATACTTATATACTTTCATGCTTTCAAAAGTTCGAAAGTACTTTATAAAAGTTTATCCATATAGGGCCTAATAGTCTCCATCTTCAATCTCCAAGGAGACAAGTTCCCCATTAGGGACCCAAATTCCCAATTCTTTTAATTAAAAGTTTGTTTTTGAAAAAGAAATATTCATTTAAATAACGGATAAAATTAAAATATAAATAATATATTAAATATATTTTCATATATATAATATAAACAACATAAATAGTATTGTACATTTAATATATACACATATTTAATATGAATAATATTTAACGTATAGCCGGAGTCGGGGCGGGCTAGAGACTTCGCTCCCCGTCCACAATCAAGTATCCCTTTTAATCCCATCCCCATCCTTGTCCCCGCCAAAACAATCTCCATCCCTGTCCCATAGGGTCGGGGAAGTCAGGTGCCCAGCGGGGATAGGGAAAATTGCCTCCCAACCCATCCCTATATTAGGGTCTCATAATCTCATGTTAGCATCACAAAAACTGAGTAGCTGGTTGAACACTTGTTATCTCATGTCATACATGACAACACAAAAATTGACCTATTGGTTGAACCACTGGCCCATTGATCAAGAAAGAACATTGGTTCAGCCTTGGACCAGAAAGGTGTTTGATACTAGAGTCGTTTTTCTAGGACATTTCATCATGGCAGCATCATGTAGGCATATTGCTCTCTTTCTCACTTCTTCTTGTTTGGTTGAGCATTTAGCCTTATTTGCAATGGAAACAACATATTCACCATTTTGCATATACGATACCTAGGCTCAGTTTGGAAGAAATACAAATACAAATATATAGAGTGCAAAATCTTATATTTTGTATTATTTTATATGTATTGGTTATGTATATATTTGTATTTGTATTCTTTCCAAACTGAGCCCTAATGACGACTAATTTATACCAAATAAAAACAAAAAAAAATGAAGGGAATGAACTATAAAAAGGGCTAAAAATGAACAATATAAAATATCGCATAACCCGTAATTATTCTACCAAAAAATTTGAAGAAGTATGAAATCTCAATTCATCTTCCCCCAATTGACATTGGTCATGAGTCATGACTATTTCAGAGGGCAACGGACATTTAACCATTTGGCCAGAATTGGGCACAAAATTAATCCCTCCTCCTGCCCAAGAGTCGTGTATGGTCGAAAATCATTCTCAACCAACCATCTCCACTTATTCCTTCTGACGGTACAATTTCTTAAAGTCCATAGATCAAGTTGGCAAAGTACTCTGTATTCAATTGGTGATGCTGATATTTTTGATCCTGAAATCATGTGGATTCAAACTACATCTTCTTAATTCCATGAGTTGTTCAATCTCTATTATTAATTCCATACTACTTGGTAAAATTATTCACAGAGAAAGATCCATCAGAATGTATAAAAGAACAAAAGAAAAAACAAAGTAAAAAAAGAAACCAAGAAGATTTCTGATCCACAACGAAGGCAGAATTAATCTCATTATCCCTGTAAACTATCTAGCAAATGAACCAATGAGCAAACAAAGATGTTGCAACTGTAATGTTCACAGATCCCCACAAGCTTGCAGCTTCTCTCTTCCAGGAAAAATGCACCAATCAATTCTATTATTTGAAAACAAGAGAAACAGAGACTGATTCAAGATACACCAAGTAATCAGTAACCAAAGTCTAGGAATTCTGCGGTGGGATTATTCTTATCAACTCAGCGGTGTGAACAATTCTGAGTACATTTCCATGAAGAACTTGTCAACAATGTCGAGGTAAGCCGGGCATGTAAGACGAGAGTAGTAATGGATTACCTCTTCTATGTCCAGGGCATGATCTACATCGTTCACGTCCATCATCTCCAGCTCCCTCAGCTTTTGCGCCATCAAGTAACTCCCTCGCTCTCTCACACCAGAAGAACATGATTGTCCTTGTTTTCGTCCTCCATTGGCTCTAATTATCGATCTCTTCTCGTTATCTTTCCTTCTATCTTCGTTCTTGCTCTTGGCCGGAGTGCTCTGTTTTACGAATTTCATGAAGCTTCCATTAATGTAGACATCTCCTTCCTTCATGGGCTCTTTGGTCGCCATGGCTGTCTTCTTGTTTTTCTTCCTGGCCTTATCTTGATTGGAGTCCCATTGCTTGGTGAAGTCTGTGTAAAATTTATCCAATTCTCTGAAACTTTGATGGGTTATTATTGAATCTTCACCAGCGCAAGAGAAAGGATTGGAAGGAGGTGATTTGGGCAGCCTTTCGTACCCTCCACCACCTCCAGATAGGAATAGGGACTTAAAGCTTTGGATGGTATTGCGTAAGAACTTCTTTGTCTTGGTAATAGGATTCCCTTGCACCATTTGTGGCTCTGATAGTGTTAGAATAGGCCTTTTTTTTTATCTGTTCTCCTCTGATATTTATCTATCTTCCTATCTGCAGAAACAGATGAGGATCACTTTCTCTTTAGCCTCTACCTTTTGTGTTGCTTTCGATGTACAGATAAGAGAGATGGAGATATGAATTACCTTGAGATCAGACAAAGGGACCAAGCAAGCAAAAGAGACGACGATGAGAATTGGTGCTTTATTGCTTCAACTTCCTCTGTTTTGGCAGGATTCTCTCTTTCTCTGTTGTCTCTTCTTTCACTATGTAATCTACTACTCATCTGTAGAAGCTGCAGCCTGCAGGCCAGGACGAAATCCTAGGACCATTTTCTTTATGAGAGGCTTTTGTTTACTTTTTACTTTCAATGGTAGAGTTGGTGCAGTCAGTACCCCCTCTTTGGTAGGGAGGAAAGATCTCTCTCTCTCTCTCATCAAAATCAGGGTTGCATAGCTTCTTTTTTTTTGTTAATTTAGGTGATGATACAATGTTTTTCAGCCTTTTCTCAAAAGTTCCATAGATGAGACTGTTCATTAAACCAAATATTTCCTTGGAAATGGATAAGGAGGAAATCCTCCTTTTTGTACCCAACAAAGGGGATACTAGAAAAGAATAGATATATGTTATCTATAATTTACCAAGAGCCGAAGGAATCCTAAGTTTGTTTATGCAATTAATTTACTCAAGATATTAATTATGGATACTCAACCCATCATCATTTGTCTGCCCTTTTAATCATATTATATGGGCTCCCCTGAATTAAGCAAAAAACAACAGATAATGACGGTAGGGCCCCATAAAACACAAATGCTAGAAAGCAGATCATCCACCAGAGTTTTGAATCTAAAATAAATGATACAAGGCGCTCCATCCTGGTTAGGGATGGGCAAGAATCGAAATTTTGTAATGCATCAATCCGTATCGGCTAATCGAAGTTTTAAGGCTTTTTTTTTTAATGCTTGTTTTAAATGTTAATTAACATTATTTCCACAATCCTTATTTCAATTTTCCACAGTATAATACAGTATTTTTTCTAACAATATTAATAACTCTTTTCAAAGGTAGTGAGAGCCGATAGAGCCCAGGTGTAACCTCTGCCCAATCCAATCCAGGGCTAATGCAAAGGGAATATTGAATCCAACTTGACCCGATCCCTCTAATATATAATACATCTACACTCAACCAAGACTATATATACAAATATTTCAATGAGGTTTAGCATGGGGTATCCAATCCAAAACCCGGTTGAGGTTGACCCACTTCTAACCTGATGGAGTCGAGTCAGTGTGGATTTATCACTTAACCCGACCCATTGACATATCTATCAATGTTTTCGAACTGCCATTAATTCGAACAATCGGATCGTTTGGCCCGATAATCGTCCAGGCAACCGGTTCCATTTTATCCCAAACCAGGTCCCTGGTTAAAAATCGTTGAATTGATCAATGACCCATTAATCCGAACAGTCGAACCATCATCCCATTCAACAATTTTTGGTCATTTATTTATTTTAATTATTTTTTTTTTATTTTTTTTATCTTTTGTCAGAATATTGGGCTATCTATTCAAACCAGATGATCATCGAACTGTCGACCTGAAAACCAGTGGTCATAATGGTTCTGGTTTCAGATCGTTTTTTAATACATTGATAGCTACCTGTTTGCCTACCGTTCCTAAGTCTTGTGCTACGTATAATTACAGTAATTCTCTTGTACATGTGAAATAGTTACCCACTGATAACTGACAAGGGCCTGTGAACGGCTTGGTGGAGGTGTGAAGAAGACAGCTCTATAAACCTGGATTAACGTTTGGCAAGTGGACACGCATCCGTTTGGGTTGGAATTAGTCTCGATCAGACAGAGAAGACTCTGCAGTCTGCGGGAGAGGTGGGGTTCTCCATTCCCACCTTCAACTTCCAAGTGGGTGTTCGGTGCTAGTATAGATTGATCACTTAAGTCTCATTTTTCTCTCTTTCCAGTTTCCAACCACCGGAGGCCATTTCCTTCTTTCAAAGAAAGAGGCCATGAATGATGAATCATCCTAGCTTTCTTTATTACAAGACTACCAAAGAGAAACCCTGAAATGAAATGCCATTAATTGGCTCCAAAAAGGATTTCCTGGCCAAAATGGACAAGCTCTCAGTCTAAAGTCATTTGCTGATTCTTATAATGAGCAAAAAGATCGACCATATCATGGTTTTCAAAATCAGACCAGAAGGTCAGATCATAAAAACTAGGAATTGGTCAAGTAATTGGTTCTCTTTTACCTTAAAACAACTTTTTGGCCAAAAACCATTGATTTAGCAAATGATTTATTGACTCGGGTGATCGATCCGTTGATTCAGACAATAGTTTTTTACCCTTTTTTATTTTTATTTTTTTTTAAATTAGCATGGGTCATCCATTCAAATCGGACTGTTAGACTGTCCAACCCAAAAATTGGTCCCCAGGACGATTCCCTGTGACTCAGTTTTAAAAATCTTGGACCCCATTCATTTCAATGGCGAGAAGAAAAGAACTAACATCTCTCATACGTTAGTTACTTGAAAAAGGGTACAAAAATCCAAGAATCATGTCATAGTCATATGGTTAAAGATTATCTATCAAGCTGCTTTTGGCCCTGGAAGCAAGCCCCATTTACCTAAGTTTCTTGATCATCGTTACCTAATTAGATGCTTTGTTGGAAGTGTGGCACAGTTTGTGACTTGTAACTCAATCTAGTAGGCACTGTCCATATCCTAGATTTCTTTCTACATGGTGCTATTTTAATTCTGAGGGTGCATCTGTTAGAGAATAAAGCCTATTCAAGTACCCATTTTAATGATTTAAGCTTTTAGGTTGAATGATTCTTAAGAATTAATCAAAGGTTATTTCATCAAATAGTTAATGTACACTCCTTGTCACTACCTTATAATTAATTAAATTTCAGCACAAGATATAGATGGGATTGTATTTATCCATATTTCAAGCCCAATGGCGAGTTTTCATGTGAGGGGGCATATGTGGATTTGGGTCGAAAATTGCTGCCACAGGGACTACTACATACTTCATATTTGGTAGCAAAGGCTTAGATTGGAAAGGGTGCAAATACAATTGTGTACAGCATAAAACCTTGTATTTTGTATTATTAAACCTGCATTTGCACTATATATATTTATATTTATGCTCCTTCCAAGAAAAAGACTATAATGTGATGTTATAATTGAGAGTTGTATGGTCCCGACCTTTGTAATGGTTGAAATCAAGATGGCATGTAACCACTCTTCATTTATTATCTAAAAAATGTCGATTTCACACAGTTGCTATGTATATTCAAAATTGGAACTCCATCATTTGTAACTTCGCCATTGGCCCCTCTCTTTATTTATCACATCATTTGTAAGGAAGTTTGTACTGATTCAGTAATCAACTGAATGATAACCTTTCGGTTAAAAAAAAATAGAAGGAACTCCATCGCCAAAACCTTTCTGTAGTCAAAACGTGAAAGAACTGAAGATCTGACTGCCCACTAATTTTGGTTTTATGAGTATTGGAGTAGCAAGTGATGGATTGCTTTTTTTTTTCAATCCAACCATCCCACTTCCCTCTCCAACATCAGACAGAGAGAGATGGCACGTCCCATAGGTATTTCACATGTACATCTCAGTGTGTATTAAAAACATCTTTGTCGGGATGTGCTGTAAGGCACTTATAGGGCTTGATGTGAACTCATATTCATCATCATCATCATCATTATTATCACCCCACATCACATCTCAATTGTGTATTAGGAATATCTCCCAATGACAACAAAGGAAGACGTGCATGTGAGGTACCTATGTGATCTCCAAAATATAGCATATTATGGCTTCCAATAAGAGGATTAATTAACCACAGTCTATATAAATAAGTTCATGGAACACAAAATTATGCAGAGGTTTCTGTAACAAATTATTATCATATAAAAGTTCAAGCAAATTTTATGAAAAAAAAAAGTGTTTTCCTTAATTAAATTAACAATTCAAGAATACGAATGAATAACATTCTAAAGAAATAATAATGATAAATTTAAAAATCCCAATGTACAAAAACAAGATCAAAGAAAGAAAACTAGTTCTGGACCGGGATAATTTTGGAGAGGCCAAATCAAGAATGGAGCACCTGATATGATAATGATTGACCTTGTTTCCAAACATGGGGATTCGTATGACAAACCATTGTTGTAGAGCAACATTAGCATATGAAATACAGGGCCAGACAAACCAGGAATTCAGGCCTAAAGATCCAACCATATTGTATGATATGTATAATGTACATATTTGTATTATATTTTGATCATAGTCTTGATTAAATATATACTGAATGAATTAATTATGTAGTACATAGTACATATTTATGCATCTATTAACATATTCTACCAATATCCATATAAATGCATGAATTTGCAGAAATTTCAAATGAAAAGTGAAAAAGACACGTGTAGTGAAGTGAGATTCAAGGACAAATTGATAACAAAATGAAAGAGCTTATGCTACTGTACCACCACAATTCTACATGTGTAAATAGGGGTACAATTTGGATGAGCCTAATGTGATTTTTTGGTACAAATTGGGCTCGTCTTTTCAAGTTTTTAGGATTTTGCCCTTGGTTGGATTGGGTTGGACTTGGACTGGATGAGCCTAATATGATTTTGCCCTGTGAATTCAGCACAAAAAAAGTCTGAAAACTAATGTATTCTCAAGAGCTTTTTGGCCGAATATTTTATCAATCGAACTCAAGTTCAAAATAAATCAAATTTACCCGATATTTGAATATGAACCCAAATTGCTCAATTAAATCTGGAATCAGAACCGGTTTCAATTCCAACTGTTTGGTTGGGCAGAATCAGAATCCTATTTCCATTCATGCTGGAATGGCATTTTCCTATTTAAGGGAATGGCCATTCCCTGCCCCTTCCTTGGGAATGAAAATTCATTCCTATTGATTTCAATTCGCATTCCTATTCTTGTCTGAACCAAACTGATTATAGGAATAGATGATTCTAGTTCCGATTTCAACTATAAACCAAATGGACTCTAAAAATTGTATCCCTTGTCCACTGGCACTCCAATAATCTTTGGATATGATAGGTCAATAGTTAAATAATATAGATAAGGGTACGAGTCAGGTTGTGTTGAGGCTCAAAATTTTTTGGTTGGGTTGAACTTATCTACTTCCATGTATCAAATGTTTTTTTAGTTTGATCAAGGGTCGATTTAGCATTGTTATATATAAAATGGCGTAATTATCATGTTTTAGTAAAAATTTGCACAACTTATGATTGTTGACGCACTTATAAACAATACATATAGATACATACATACATACGCCATACATGCATATATAATATTTACACAAATACATGCGTATATACTAATTATACATATAACTAAGATAAGTTGGGTTCTGGTTGGGTGAAGTTGGCTAAAAC